GGTTATTTATATATGTAGCTAGGAAGAAAGGGTAGTGTGGGGGGTATGGGAGAAGGGACAAGATTGTCTCCATCTAAATAATTTAGCTCTCTCTCTCTTTAAAAAAAGCCCAATTAAATGCTATATACCACTTTTTTTTAGAACACCACTTCATAGAGCTTAATAATAATAATAATAATAACAATAAGAAAACTGTGTACCGTTTACCCATAAACTCTTTACAAACTACATGGTTTACCCTTGAATATTAAAAAATGCATTGTTTACCTTTGAACTCTTCAGAAATTACAGTATTTAATCCTGAACATTAAAAAGTGCACCAAATATTCCTGAACAATTTAAAACGTTACACTGTTGGTCCTAAAATACTAGATAGGGAGTGTGCTTCTCCCGCCCACAGGAATTGCAAGTATGATCCTACTTTTAACTATCACATCGAGGATATTTTTGGAAAGTAAGTATTTCTCTTGAAAAACTGACAAAGTATCTATAGGTTTGGTCTTGGAATGATAGGGGGAGAGAAGGGAACAGAAGTTGAGGGAGTACTTACTTCAAGTTGGGCAGAAGGAGTTATGTTTGGCATCAGAAGAAAGTGTGTTCAGAGAGCTGCAGAGTCATGAGTTGTTGGGAAATGTGAATTATAAAAGATCAGATCATAATTAATTTTAAAGGTTTTAATTATTATACATTAGTCTCTTTCTCTTTGTCACAAATATATTCCTTGCAAGAATCTATGTATTTTAAGCCTCTTATTACATTATTAATTTATTTAATTAATTTCTTGGGACACTAAAAAAAGGAAACCCAAAATGCATGTACTATGCAGTGAGTTCTACTCATAGTTTTCAGAACCGGACCGGTGACCGAACCGGACCGGTGACCGAACCGGTCTCGGTACTGGTTCACTGGTTTACTGGTCGAACCAGTGGTTCAACTGGTCGAACCGGTGGTTTAAACATTTTTTAAAATTATATATATATATATATATATATATATATATATAGGCACACACACTCTCTCTTATTTATAAATACTTAAGAGTAAATAATGTATAACATTTGACCAAATCTATAATAATTTACTTCAGTTATGTCACTAAGTTTAAAAAATAAAACTTACATATTTAAAAAACAATATTAAACATTTTATAAACAAAGAGTTGATTTTATTTTTTTCAAATAAATTATCTAATATGAAAA